TCTCCCTAATGATGAGTAACGTTGAATGTCTTTTCATGTGCCTGCTAGCATTTTTCACAGAGCTAGAACAAACAATCCTGAAATTTGTATGGAACCACAAAAGACCCCAATAGCCAAAGCAATCTTGAAAAAGAAAAGCAAAACAGAAGTCATCACAATTCCAGACTTCAAGTTATATTACAAAGCTGTAGTGATCAAGACAATATGGTACTGGCATAAAAATAGACACATAGATCAATGGAACAGAATAGAAAACCCATGGACCCACAACTATATGGCCAACTCATCTTTGACAAAGCAGGAAAGAATATCCAATGGAAAAAAAGAAGGTCTCCTCAACAAAGGGTGCTGGGAAAACTGGACAGCAATATGCAGAAGAATAAAACTGGACCATTTTCTTATGGCATACACAAAATGAATTCAAAATGGATCAAATCCTACATGTGAGACAGGAAACCATCAAAATCCTAGAGGAGGACACAGGTGGCAACCTCTTTGACATTGGCCATAGCAACTTCTTACTAAATATATCTCCTGAGGCAAAGGAAACAAAAGCACAAATAAACTATTGAAGTCCCAATAGTTTATTCTTCATCAAGATAAAAAGCTTCTGCACAGCAAAGGAAAGAATCAACAAAACTAAAATGCAACCTTTGGAATGGGATATTTGCAAATGACATATCTGATAAAGGGTTAGTATCCAAAATATACAAGGACCTTATAAAACTCAACACCCAAAAAACAAATAATCCAGTTAAAAATGGGCAGAAGATATAAATGAACATTTTTTCAATGAAGACATACAGGATACATCATATTATTTAATTTTTTTTTACATTTTATTTATTTGTGATAGAGAGACAGAGCACAAGGGGGGGGGGGGCAGAGAGAGAGGGAGACACAGAATCTGAAGCAGGCTCTAGGCTCCAAGCTGTCAGCACAGAGTCCAACACAGGGCTCAAACTCACAGACCGTGAGATCATGACCTGAGCTGAAGTCAGACACTTAACTGACTGAGCCACCCAGGTACCCCAAAGCTTGTTGTCTGGATACATCATATTATTTAAATCTCACAACAACAATGCTATAAATGGCATATAGTAGGTGCTAAGCAAGTATCTGTGGTATGAATAAACAACCCTATAAGCAAGGTGCCATGTGAGGCAACTGTGGTTGAGAAAGATTAGGTAACCTGCCTCAGGTCTCCTAGTTAGTAAGTGGCAGAATTCAAGCTTGTTAGACAAAATTACAAGACAAAATACCACTTTTGGCTTCAGTTCTAACCTGAAATTACAATAAAGACATCAGGTTCTATTTCTAGAAAGAAGTTAGGTCCTTAATATTACTTTTTGAGTCATATTGAAATTCAAATCTGGTAATTAGGTTGTTTTCTTTGGTTTCAGGCATCTTTGGCATCCAATTCTCCATTATTTACTAAACATTTGACTTTGGGAAGATTTGATTTACCCTCTCTGAAACAAAGTTTTCAGGAGATGGTAAAATGAAGATGATAGAATGAAGGTGGAGCCAGAATTGGAAGTCAAGGCTACCTTACTCTCCTGGTTTTTAAATAATGGTAACTGATACAAAATGTTAAGAAAACACTGTGCAGGCCAAATAAAATACATCTGCGGGGTGCATTTGGCCTGTTAGTCACATGTTTTGACCTCTGTATTAGTTGAGAGAAGGCAGAGAGTTAAGACATCGTGGTGGTTGAAGCATGGACTGTAGAACCATACTGCCTGGGTTGCCATCCAAGTGTGGTCATTTCCTAGCTCTATGATCTTAGACAACTTTCTTAATGTGTCTGTGCCTCAGTTTTCTTGTCTTTAAAATGGGCATAATGAGTATGTACCTTATAAGGTTTTTATGAGGATTAATTTGTGTGTATGTGTGTCTTTTAAAACAGTGCATATAACAAGTGCTCTGCAAATATGCTAAATTAAACAAAGTAAATAAGCTCTAAGTTACCTTTGATTATTTTCACTAATTGTAACTTGGTCTTTGCCTCAGTTTGCACATCTGTAAAATGGGGACAATAAGGGTACCTCCTTTGTATGGTTATTGTGAGGATTAACTGATTTAATATAGACAGTTAATATATCTACAGTACTTAGAATATTGCCTAAAACAGATTAAGCACTATGTAAATGTTAGCCATTATCATTATTAATTTTTAAAATGATTGCTTGGCAAAGCTCATGTAAGTCAGTACTGCAAAATTCCAAAATATATTTAACAATATTTATTTACAACAACTAGGCATTGATCTTAGGAGCAAAGTCCATAGTATAATAACGGAGCTGCACTTTTTTTAAGTTTATATATTTATTTTCAGACAGACAGAACATGATCCTGTGAGCAGGAGAGGGGCAGAGAGAGAGAGAATCCCAAGCAGGCTCCACACTGTCAGCACAGAGCCCAACATAGGACTCAATCACATGAACTGTGAGATCATGACCTGAGCCAAAATCAAGCGTTGGAGGCTCAAGTGACTGAGCTACCCAGGTGCCTCTGGAGTTGAACTTTTAACCCTTCAATCAATCATTCAAGAAAGCAAAATGGCAAATAGTCTGAGAATAGAAAAACTTCCCAATCATTGCACAGCCCACTTAATACTACTTCATAAAGCTGAGGTTTATTGTTGAGAGAAAGGTTGAGATAAAATGAAAAACAGCCTAAACTTGCATTTATAAAGGCAACTAATTGAATTTATTCTTAACATCTCTCTACATTTTCCATAATAAATCTAAGAAGAAGAAGTGAAAAATTCAAACTCTCATGCACAGTTAATTAGAAGAAAGTTCTATATTGGGAAACAGAGTTATCTCTTGGCTCCCTATTTAATCCCCATCTACCTGGAGTACACTATTGCTTTGTCAGGTATGTAAGGAAGGAAGTTGTAAGTAGGGTCAGGTCCTGGGGTTAAACAAATCAGTACCCCATCTTTAAGAATCTGGTATAAATAAAGGAATCTTGAAAGGACTTGGCAGTGAGTGGATGATCAATGGGACAAATAAGAGTCCTAGTGTGAAGGGATTAGAAGTATGCTGGATCCTCACACTGAATGATTAGGGATTGCAGGACATAAGTTTAAAGGTTCTAGAAGTGGGATTGCTCATACTGAAGTGACAATAACTATTAGTGAATCTCCTTTGAGAAGAGAAGGAAATTCTTCAATGTGAGAGGACAGAGGCAAGGGGAGATCTCACTGTAAGAAAAACAGAAGCTCTGTTGTGAGGAGACAGAATATAATATGAAAACTCCATTGTGAATTGATAAGAACACTATAAAATCATTAGGGATAAGGATAGGTGACTTGGGTAATACAATTTGGGAACATACAGGTTAGGATGTTGGGGTTTGTGTCTGAAAATATGTAATTCTGAGCTTGAAAGCATAAAATATGCTGTGGGGACCATTTGATAGCTAAAAAGGGAATGAAATGCTCCCTAATGTGACAGGATAGGGTACAAGAGGACTCTCTAGATTTACAAAAGGGGTGGTCTAATGAGACGGGACAAGAAATGAGGCTCTCATTGGACTGAGAAGGAAATATTACAAATCCCAGTGGGAAAGGATGGTGTTTTCCTAGGTTGAGAAGACAGGGGACAAGGAACCCTACACGGAAGTAAGATAAAATAATAATAATAATAATAATAATAATAATAATAATAATAATAAAACCCTAGAGAAAGTGGATGACAAAATGTAGGGCTATCAATGAAAGAGGACTGCAGCAGGTGGGGAGTAGGTTTCCAAAAATATAACAAGGCGGGATTATCATTAGAAAAGTAGCAGCCCTTGGGGGGTGCCTGAGTGGCTCAGTTGGTTAAGCCTTGAACTCCAGATTTCAGCTCAGGTCATGATCCCACAGTTTGTGAGTTGGAGCCCCACGTGGGGCTCTGCATTGACAGTGCAGAGCCTGCTTGGGATTCTCTCTCTCCCTCTCTCTCAACCCCTCCCCCACTCCCTATCTCTATCAGAATAAATAAATAAACTTTAAAACAAAAGAAAAGTAGTGGCCCTTTGAAGGGGTTTGTGGAAAACCTTGTGGGAGGGTAAAAAGGACACTACTGTGAGAAGAGAGTGGACAAGGCATGACCATATTGTGACAAAAGCAGGGTGCCTAGTATGAAGGGTCAGAAAATAATATGGGAACCCTAATGGAAAGTAGTGAATGCTCCTCAAAGGAGGAAAGCAGAAGAATAAGGGGAACCCCAGTGTGATAAAATCAGGGTCTCTAAATGAGGGGACAGGGCAAGATATATTGTAGGAGTCCCATTCTATTGGAGAAGATGATAAAACGGTAAAGCCCATAGGGAAAGAGAATAAAGGGCCCATTTTCACTGTGTGAAAACGGGACACCCAGTGGAATAAAACAAGGCATATGGTGGGGCCCTAAGTGGGAGAAGATGTGAGGTACTTCAGCCAGTGTGAGAGGATCACAGAAAAAGGATGAATTCCAGTGTTGGAAAAAAGAGAGCTTATAAGAGAGTACAGGAAATATTTTGGGATTCCTAGTAGAAAGGAATGTGAAAATGTGGGGCTCCTAGTTGTATGTATTGGTAGGATTCATAGTGTAAGCAGTTTACCGAGATGGGGTGTGTTGTTTCCTCAATTCTGTAGGGTAGGAGTCCCCCGGAATGAGAACACCAGGCACAAGCAGTTGTCCTGTATGAGAAAAGGGGGCTCTAGTGGAAAGAGCCAGTACATTCTTGTGAGTAAGGCTAGGGAATAACGTAAGAAACCCTAGGTAAGAAGCGATGGCGACATGGTAGGACCCTCGTGGGAAGGTGCAAGAAATATTGTGGGAAGCTAGAGGTTGAAGACGAGGAGGTCTCCAGAGAGCTAAAAACAAACAGCACGCTCCCCTAAACAAACAAAAAAATCCCGCAGTGTGAGGGATAAGAACACAGGGGAAGGGGACACCAGTGTGAAGGGTACGACAGACAAGCTGAAGTATAATTTCCCCACCTTAGGTGCCCAGCTCCACTTACCCAGGCAGAGTTCAAAGACATAGGCATAGTAGGACCAAAGCACAACGAGGACGATAACAAGCACAGGCACCCAGGAAAGTACTCGGCGGCAGCACCGCAGCCCCCAGGACAGAGCCATCTTCCAGCCGCGCCTCATCTTTGGATCGAAGATCGACCAAGCAGGCCTGCTGGCGCTGGGTTGGAACTGCTGGGCTGGCAGCTAGGAGGAGGGAAGGCGCGCTGTGCGGCGCTCCACTGCGTAGCCTGGCGGGAACTGTCTCCCCGAGCCGGTCGATACCACCTGTAAGGCTGCAGGGCAGAGTGCTCCCTGCCTGGCACAATAGGCATGAGTCATGGCAAGGAGGAACTGACAACCCTGGAGCGGAAGGTGATCCGCCTGGCAGTCGAGCAGTCGAGGCTAGGCAAGTTCTGAGGAAATGCAGTCCCTCCCCTTTCCTCTTTTTCCACCCCCTAGCTATATACAGCTCTAGATGCAGACCTAGACCTCTGCAAAACAATAAAGCGGAAGAAATTTGGGTCTGCCCATGTGCTCTTACTGCACTGCGTCCTCCCCTCATCTCCTTTCTGATCTTTATGTTTTTCTGTCTCTCTTTGTTTCCCCCGTCAACACATACACGCGGTGCGAAAGATACCAGCCACAGCATCTTAAGATTTAAAGGTTATCCAACCCCATCCTCCCACTGCTGCTTCAACAATGTGCTTAACGCGTAGTGCTGCAATCACTGCTTAGGTAAGTCCGTTCACAGAACGCTCCCTCCTTCCTTCTCTTCTTCCCTTACCCCTTCGTCCATTTTCGGAATAAATAAACATATTGGTACAGAAAAACAAAGAAGGAGACGTTAATTCTGTGAGGGGTCAGGGAAAGATACAAAGGTAGTAATGTTTAAACTGAGCTTTAATAAATGTTTGCTAGGCAGAGGAGAGGGGACGGATCTTTCAGACAGAGGAAACAGAGTCGGCAAAGGCATAGAGTAATAAAAATCCAAAAGTGTTCAAGGAACAACTAATATGGTGTGAAGAGGAGAGGCAGGGACTGAGACTGGGAATATAGGCTGAGGGAACAGTGTGAAGGTCTTTATATGCCCCATCAGGGTGTGTGGACGTAATCCTGTAAAACAGATTACTATGAACAGTCATTAAAGGTTTTGAGACAATGGAATGACATTATCAGAGATTTTTCTAAAAGAACTAGCAGGATTTGGGAGAGGAGAGTGGCCTGGAAGCGGACCAATTAGGAGGTAATTTAATTCAACAAATGTTTTTGGAATGATTGCTTTGTATTAGGTCAACATTGGTATAAAAAGAACACTGAAACAGGAAGCCTGTCCCCATGAAGCTCATGTTCTCCTCAGGGGAATAGGTGTTCAATGACACAAGTACAATAATGGAAGTATAGTAAGATACTGACATTTATGGTTTTGAAACTCACTGTTTAATGATTCCTAAATGTCTATGACATGGAGAAACTTGTGATTTTGCTATGACTCACGTTTTATTCAAATTCTGTATTGGAAACAAGGATTTCAACAGAGTTGTGCTTTATAGTTATGTATGCAGTAATTCCTGAAGCGTTAACACCTTTTGTTCTTTTTAGATTAAGTTAACTTCATGGTTGATATTACTAATTAATGATGCAATGAAACACAGACTTATTTCACTTGCAACATTTATTTTAGTAGCCCAATTAATTATTTGAGTCCTAAGTTTCAGACACAGATACTTAATTTTTTTCCAGCATTACTGAGATATCATTGGCAGATAAAAATTGTATATATTTAAGGTATATAATGTGATCATTTGATAGGTATATACATTATGAAATGATTATGGCAATCAAGCTAATTAACACTTCTATTATCTCACATAGTTACCATTTTTGACAAATATTTTTATTGAGATATATTTTACATACAACATTGTGTAAATTTAAGGTGTACATTTTTAAAGTTTTTGTTTAAAATCCAGTTAGTTAACATACAATGTGATATTAGTTTTAAGTACAGAATATAGTGATTCAACACTTCCATGTAACACCTGGTGCTCATCACAACAAGTGCACTCCTTAGTCCCCATCACCTATTTAATCAATTTCCTTGTCCAATGGGTAACCGTCAGTTTGTTCTCTATAGTTAAGTCTGTTTCTTGGTTTGCCTCACTCTCCCTTTTTTCTTTGCTTGTTTGTTTCTTAAATTCCACATATGAGTGAAATTGTAGGGTATTTGTCATTTTCTGATGGACTTATTTTCCTTTGCATAACACCCTCTAGTTCCATTCATATCATTGCAAATGGCAAGATTTCGTTCTTTTTATGTCTGAGTAATATTCCATAGTATATATATATGCCACTTCTTTACTCATCTATCAATGGACACTTGGGATCTTTCCATAATTTGGTTATTGTTGATAATGCTTTTATAAACATGAGGGTGCATGTGTCCCTTCAAATCTGTATTTTTATACCCTTTGAGTAAATACCTAGTAGTACAGTTGCTGTATCTTAGAGTATTTCTATTTTTAACTTTTTGAGGAACCTCCATACTGTTTTCCAGAATGGCTGTACCAGTTGGCATTCACACCAGGAAGGCAAGAGAGTTCCCCTTTCTCCATAGACTCACCAACACCTGTTTCTTGTGTTGTTGATTTTAGCGATTCTGAACAAGTGTGAAGTGATATCCCATGTAGTTTTTATTTGCATTTCCCTGATGATCAGTGATGTTGAGCATCTTTCATGTGTCTGTTGGTCATCTGTATGTCTTTTTTTGGAAAAATGTCTATTCATGTATTCTGCCCAATTTTTAATTGGATTTTTCATTTTTTGGGGCGTTATGTAAGTTCTTTACATATTTTGGATACTTATCCTTTATCAGATATGTCATTACAAATATATTCCCCCATTCTATAGGTTGCCTTTTAGTTTTGAATCCTTGTGGTTGAAGTTTTCTTTGCTATACAGAAGCTTTTTATTTTGATGAAGTCCCAATAGTTTATTTTTGCTTTTGTTTCCCTTGCCTTAGGAGATATATCTAGAAAGAAGTTGATACAGCCAATGTCAAAGAAGTTACTGCCTGTGTTCTCCTCTAGGATTTTTATAGTTTCCTGTCTCACATTTAGGTCTTTAATCCATTTTGAATTTATTTTTGTGTATGGTATAAGAAAGTAGTCCAATTTCATTCTTTCGCATGTTGCTGTCCAGTTTTCCAACACCCTTTGAAGAGACTGTCTTTTTACCATTGGATATTCTTTCCTGCTTTGTTGAAGATTAGCTGACCATAATGTTGTAGGTTCATTTCTGGGTTTGTTATTCTGTTCTATTGATCTATGTATCTATTTTTGTGCCAGTAGAATACCATTTTGATTAGTATTATAATATAACTTGAAATTTGGAATTGTAATACCTCCAGTTTTGTTTTTCTTTTTCAAAATTGCTTTCACTATTGGATTCCTTTGTTTGGACTATCCACTATTTGGATTGTTTGTTCTAGCTCTGTGAAAAATGCTGGTGGTATTTTGATAGGATTGCATTAAGTGTGTAGATTGTTTTGAGTAGTATACACATTTTAACAATTTTTGTTCTTCTAATCCATGAGCATGGGATGTTTTTCCATTTCTT